AGAAATTGCACGAGACCCCAGCACTTCCCCTAACCTATCAACCTTAACATTTAATTGGGCGAACTCAGTATTCACCGTCGAATCTAGTTGGGTTAGTTGGGTGCCTATGGATGTCAATCGCAACCCATGTGACTCAATGTCTAAGAGTTTAGTCTCTAGGACTTCCAAGCGTTCATTCATCTCTTTACCGTTCCAGGAAGACAGGATGTTTGCCATGAGGAACTAGGTATGTCGCTCTGGTTGGCGACATTCGGACGATGTGGATCAGAGAACCTGGTCTCATAACTCCCCTTCTTACGCCGCCTTGGCCGCCTAACCTCAGTGTATGGCTCCCCATTTCCTCCCTCTCCCCAGAAATGGCAGAATACCCAGGCTCTTTTTGGAGGGACTGTGGAGTACGCAGTCCCCTCAGTACTAGTACTGTCCTCGCCTAACTGGTGGGAGGGAAAACCTTTGGAATGGTTCCAATATTTTGGTGAGCAACCCACAAAGTCATCCTCATCTCTCACGTTGGGGAAAGATGGAGTGAGATAAGGCGACATGGAAGGTTCGGGATGTTTCTCCGCACCCCCCTTAGTCTTACCTAACCACATAGAAGGATAACCCTTGGGAACACCACTGCAAATCGAGGAGGAGCTTCCTAGGGACTCGTCACTAATATTAACATTAGTTCCCTTACTCTTACCCCTATGCTCTGAGTATTGAGGGTCAGAATTACTACCCCACCATACTTGGACTTACGTCCGGCGCTTAAAGATGCACCGATCGGTGACACCCACACTTGTTTGGAATGACCACCCGACGAAAATGCAGCTTTATGTTTACAGGCTGACTTCCTTAAATGTCTATCCCTTTGAACCTCGGCTTCCTTATAGGTGGATAAAGCCTGGGAAACAGTTAAACGCCCTAGGTATAGAACTAGTTCCCCCAACTTCACTTCCCTACAACCAAGACAAAACCTAAGCACAGCATGATCCTCTTTCCAACTTTCCGGAAGAGACTTATATGCTTTATAGGTAAGGGTTTACACTCTATCTGCCCAGTCTTCAATACAATCACCATCTGCCTGTGAGGCGGAAGTTAATTTGGCTTCTCTATACAAGTCTTTAGAAGTGGCAGAAGGAAGGGTTTCCGCATACAATTCCCCTCCCCCAATACCATTGAGCACTGTATTCGGTAAAAAGTCAAAATAACCAGTAAAATCATACTTTGCAAAGCCCATAATATCTCCCAATCTAGTAATATTGCCATTTCGTGACCTCCAGCTTATAATATATTTAGCTAGTTTTTCACTAATATTCGGAACAGTGCAAAGATCATCGATAAAACAATAATTAATGAAGACTCGTTTAAATCTAGGCATTATTGCAAACTGTCTGTATTAAAATAGTAAAATCAAACAATAGTAATATAAAAATTGTCAATGTGCAAAAAAATGTGGTTAAAGTACAATTCATAAAAACAGGCTATAATCACATTAATCAAAACACCTATCTAAATTGCGTACAAATATCGCACAAATAACAATGAAAATGAACACCTGTGGATAAAACCAAATTAAAATGATATGCAAACGAACTAGTACTGCACGGTAAAAGGAATGCCACAACAAATTCTCTTATGCGTGTAAAGAATTCGTCATGCACCTTTCACTAAAAACGTTTTAAAATTCCTACCTATTTCCTAACTAGTATTAATCCTAATCTATTATTAACACGAAAATATTAGCTGTGAGAGTACTTAATTCAACGTAACGTATGTCACGTGAACTTCCTCCCACACGCTATTCGCGCTAATAAATCCGTCACCTGTTCCGACCCAGCACACGTACCGACGATACGATGATCGACGTTACTGGGCTAAAACAACGGGTAACAGTAAACACCTAACAATAATCCTAGTCTAATATATTCGGAAACTAATTGTGAGGTACTCGACAGTCGGAAAATAAATCCGGTCCTTTACACTTCCAGTCACAACAACCCTAATCAATATCCTAATCTAAACACCTAATCTAAGTTTAACTGTAAAGGTACTCGGCAGTCGACAATAATTACCGAATCTACTTACTTCCCCTCAGAAAAAAAAAAAACAAAACCTAACTAAACACTAAATAAACCACCGCAAGCGACTCTATTCGCTCGCATCGACAATGTTGCACAAAATACAACATATGGCAAGTCTTTCGCTCGCAGCGCCAATATTGTAAAAAGCCTAAAAGGTACTTACCGGTATCGGTATTAGTTTCCCGCGTGGGGCTGAATACAATGTATATTGTGACACGTCTGTCTGTTATCGGCTGTGGACTTGAAGTGCCGTCCTTTCTCCAGGGAATTACCCGGGTCGGCCGTTCAGTGCGCCTGCCCGTAGATACGCCGGTTTGTGCAGCAGATGAGCTAACCCAGGTAATCTGGGGTCATTGCAGTGTGACCTCCAGGGGGTCGCCACTACACGTGGATTCATGCAAGCCATCAAACCCTTGTGACAACTTTCATGCGAGGCAGGACGAATTATGACTTCAGTATTGTAACAAAAGTGTAAGGCACCTTAAAACATGTTACAAAGTAACAATAACAATATTTCAATATAAATTTTGATGTTCATATAACCTTCTCATCGAGTACAGGTAATACTAAAATCAATTATAGGGATAATTATAGTTATAGGGATAGCCTTTTCCACGAATCAGTAGACATCTTGAACTTGTAATGACAAAAAATGCAAATCAGCGGTGCGTAACCAACAGAAATAAGAAGCTTTTGGGCTGATTTTCCAACATCATGTTATTTAAAAAATCAAAACTGCATAACAGGGTGTTGTATCAAACATTTTTTACAGCAAAATGTTCTTAAAAGACTAGTCTACACCACTATATGATTGAAAAAAAAATTGAAAAATGTTTTTGACCTCTGAAATCAAGATGGAAAAAGAAATGCATATCTATATGAATATAGAAGTAGTGTATAAAAATAGGCCTATGCATTACAGTGCAGTAGCATAGTACTGTTCCAGGTACCGATAATATAAAGATTTCTCTTATAAAGTTATGTTTATATAGAAGGATAGTGTAGTAAATCATGTTTTAACACACTAGATGGTAATTAAAACAATGCGGACAGCTAATAGTACTACTTCACTGTATGTAATGCACAGTGGCGGCGCCAGCGGGGTGGAATTAAGCCCCCCACCGGACAGGTCAAGCCCCCCGCCGGACAGAGCTCGTCGGGCAGTCAGACCATAAAACATATAAAAATAGGCCCACACCAAGCCAACACATGTCTGTCACAGTCTTAGAGTGCCATTTTCGGACATCTAGAGGTTGATATTCTTAAAAAAAATCTCATTTGGGAGGGGGATTCCCCTCTCAACCCCTTCTCCCAACTCGAGCTTACGAGTTCGAGTCCCCCTGTCGGACAACTTAGCTCCCCCAGAAAATATATCCTAGAGCCGCCACTGGTAATGCATTGGGACTATGATAGGCTAGACTATTTGGACTTTTCTTCTTCCATTTGATTTCAGAGGTCAAAAACATTTTCCAATTTTTTTTTTTCAGTCATATAATGGGTGTAGACTAGTTTTTTTAAGAACATTTTGCTGGAAAAGAATTTTGGATACGACGCCCCGTTATGGAGTGATTTTTTAATAACATGATGTCAGAAAATCAGCCCAAAAGCTTATCTTATTTCTGTTGGTTACGCACCGCTGATTTGCAATGTTTGTCATTACTTCAAGATGTCTACTGTTTCGTGGACAAGGCCTTCTAAATAGGCTAGCCCTAGTACTATTTATAATATTATTATTTATACCCACGGCTTACCTGATCCATGCATTGCTGCTAGGCCGCTACTATAATACTTGGCACAGGCCTTCGTTCAAAGCCTAAACCTGCTGAGTCTCATCATTGGCTGGAGTATACTTGTAAACGCTAGCATTTCAAAAAGTTCAAATTTTTCCAACTTATTTTCAAAACACCCTGGAAATTTGTTTTCAAGAAATTCATCGACGTTCTTCAGCAGTGTATCAAATGTTTGATCATCAAACTGCAGCCGCTCAAGTCGACCAGTACTTAGGAGGGTCGCAGTTCAAAACGACAATAAACCAATAAATTAAAAGAAAAAAAAATTGTTTTTGTCTGTATTTTACAGTTTTATTTATTTGAACGTTCACTGATTTATTAGTGTTTATTCAATTTGTATTTTGTGATATTGTTATTAGGCCTATTTTTATTTAATTCTTATTATTATTACTACTACAGTACTGTACTGTTTTATTATTATTATTTTTAATTAATGTCATTATCATCATTTTGTTTGTATTTTAAAGTTTAATTTATTTGAATGTTTTCTGCTTTTATATTGTGTTTCGCCCAATATTATTATTATTTTTTTGGTTTAATTCTGTTTGGACCCACTACCATTCTGGATAAAAAATGTTATATATAGTGTGAGAATATGGATTGCAAAGCTTACATTGGCCTATATTAGCTGCCATGGCCAGTGGAAGGGCTTTTACAGCAGTTCTTCACAAATGTAAATTTTCAGGCACGCTTGCGTTTTTCATCATTGGAAACAATAATTATGTGGTTGGTTACGCTCTATCCAAAGCATCTAATCCAACATTTTATCCATTTCCCCTTAAAAGAAAGCCTGGATTTTATCCTCCTCCTTGTCAGTCATTATAATTCATCACTACCATAGACCAGACCATGGCAGACCAATATTGTAATGAAACTGTATCCAGTCAAAAGAATTATTTTAAAATATTATAAGATCATCATCATCATCAGCTTAATCATCATCACCATCAACAATAGTCACCATCATGTTATTAAATCCTACAGTCGGTGACCCAGATATACTAGCTTTACATGTTGCCCTGCATGCCATCAGGGAAAATCTGGTGTCACCCCTCCATGTAAAAAATGAAATCTTGCATGACTAGCAAAAAGACAACATTTTTTTTTTCAAACTAATGTTGATATTTAATATAATCAAAGACCATCAGTAAAAACATATCATCAGATTTTAGAAACTTAAAATATATTGCATTGAAGCAGTTTTATAGCAAAGTCAGAAAATTATAATTGCAAGTCATTCAAAGCAACATGCTAAACAAATATCAAAATTATAAGATACCAGAAGGGGTATTACCTGTTATACTCATTACTTTAATTTTCAAAAATGTGTATTATTAGCCATTGTTGATTGCTATTTCTTTAAATGTCCCTTAGTCTTAGTATACAAATAATAAATGTTTGTAAGTGGAACGGGAATACTGTAATATTATCATGAGTTAAAAGATTGACTGTTCAACTCGAGGAGGCGGAATAAATAACATTTATTTGCTTTATAACACATCTAAACTAAGTCATGTGATATATCATTAAAGGAATACAACTTTTTTTTTTATGAATGAAGCTTCTTGAAATTAGATATTTTATGAAAAAAAAAATCGACTCTTTTTCCAAATGAAACAGTCAAGGTTCTTTTAAACCCACAAAAGATTGTTAGGTTGAAGTCATATTTTATCCTAAGCTACGTGCAACGGGCAAAAATGGAAAATGTATGGATGGTACTAAATTTCCATTATGAATGACGAAATGGAATAAATAAGCAATGTTAGATTATACGAAATCTATCTAGGTTTGTTATAAAATATGTTAAAGTGTACAAATTATATTTGGATGATATTTATATAACCAAAGGCAATCAGATGAAAAATAATTACCATTCATCAGTTTAAAAACTTCAAATTACGTTTATTTAAACAGTTTCCAGCCAAGGAAGAAAAGATCATTCAAAACATGTTACAGTGTACAGACTACTTTTAGCACTAGTTCTGTACGAACTAACATCAAATGGTCTAGTAGAAGTTGACCGCTGAATAGTACATTCAATTATAGGTTGTTTCAAAACAAAATCGATTGCCCTGACAAACGAAAATTTGTCCTGGTAAGTCACAACATCCCAGCATGTACCTAGGAGCATATCAAGGTGCTGATATCCTGATTCTAATGAGAAACTCTTACGAAAATTGTTAGATTTCGTCAAATCGAAAAGCGCATAATCACGTTCATCAAAGAGTATACTGAACTTCTTAACCAGATACTTTGAAGTAAGTGTTTCTTGAATTTTGTTGTGCAGGTGTTGTCCAGTTCCGAATTTCCTTATGTCTTCTAAATATGAAGCTGGACATCCATTAGAGTTTGCAAGTCGTGTTTCTTCAATCGCGTCAACTTTAAATTTTTCTGCATTACGTTTGGCATCACCGCCCAAGCGTACCTTTGACTTTATCATTGAAGTTAAGGGACACTGAAGGGAACAATTTTCATCACACACATAAGCATCCTTTTTCTCCTTGCATACAAATCATTTTACATATACATCTGAGGGTGTCCATATAATTTCTTGTATACAAACTACAAGGACATCTCGAAAGGTACAAACATCGCCAACAGACAGAAATCCACGCTGGCCGTTTGCAGTCAAAAGTGGCAAACGGTTTTCGCTATCTGAAACACACATTTCTCTAATCGATTTACCATTTGTAGACTGAACTTTCTCTAAATGCTGTAAGAGAAATATATATTCAATAATTATTACATATTATAAATACTCTACATATATTAACCCATGAAACATTATTGCTTTGTACAGAATATAAATGGAGTAACAAAAACAATTAAACCACTGGATTTTTAAAGAAGTAAGAGGTGCTTGAATTTTTCCACAAACTGGAAACAGACAATGTAATTATGAATAAACATTTTCATTGCTACAACAAAAGATATTCACACTTGTTTGAGAGCTGTTAAAAAAACAAAAAAGCAACCCTTTCTGTTAGAGTACAGTATAAATATTAACACAAATTTTACCTTTATTCGAAATTTTGAAAATATCATACCTCACAGTTTACTTGCTGAACAGTTAATTTTGAAGGACGTCCATTACTTCTTTTAAATTTCTTTGAATGATTTCGTTTACTTGGGATGGTTTCACTGGTCGTAGTTGGTGGGATGAAGACTTCACTCTTAACTGATAACAAGGACCTTCAAGCTCAACCACAACAACATCATGCATAGGATCAATCTCCTTAACAGTAACACTTTTTTTGTTTTCCAGCTAAGTAAATGACTGTTTCGTCATCAGCACGCAAGTGCAATTTTCTCACTGCTTTATGTTTCTGTATTTTGCCAGTTCGTTTTACAGATTCCTGAAAATATTGTTGATTTATTAAATTAAACAAAAAAAAAACATTTATAATTAAATACAGGCCTAAAATTAAAAAAAAAAAAAAGAGGGATCAGCGTATGGTAAAAGTTTAAGCTTTGACAAGTCTGGTGTGAAAAGATATGAATGCCATGTGTTTCACCTGCTAACCAGTTTGGCCACAATATAGTTAAAATCCAGAAAATCAAGCAATTAAGTGTTTTTGTTTGTATTAATTATTTATTACAAGATTACACTACAATTACTTCACAAATAAAGGCTTATCATAACAGCTACCAGTGAAAATGTAAAGTTTGTTGAAATTAATATATTTGGACGTACGCTTGTCTTTTGTACAGTATGTTAGTTAATGTTACAGTGCCTGGCCTAGTAGTAGGTTTACTGAAGCTTTGACAAACCCGGTGGTGGATATGGTAAGAATGCCATCTGTTTCGGTTTTTTTAATCTGTTGAGATCCAAAACATTTTTTGCCATGATGTAGTTAATATCCAGAAAATCAAGCAATTTAGGTGTTTTTGTTTGTCTTATTAATTATTAAAGTACACACTACTCTTACTGATGATTCATTCCTGATGATGACATAATTAATGTCGAAATATTGAATCCCGACACGATGGCGTACATTTCGATATTTTGTGTATGTTTACTATCTTATCAAACTAGACGGGAAAATAAACATAGGCCTACTTACTGTAAGCATCTGTAGGCCTAGGGCCTAGATAAACCCTTCTACACTATACGCCTATCAGTACCTTATTCACTAAGAAAACTAGTAGGCCTAGGTCTACATATCCTACCTTTGTTACATTACGAATTTCTGATTCTGACACTTCGTTGTCCCAACGATGACCCCATCCATCAAAGTTCACAGTGTAGTGTTGTTGGCCGTTTAACTGAACTCTCACAACATTCCCCCGACTCCGGTATCCTTCTTCATCGAGAGCTTCACAAGGATCCCCAACTGAGAATTCCACCATACTGTATTCTCAAGTGATGACCACTGACGAATGCAATAAATAAGGCAGTTCAACAAAGTGAAGCCTAGCTAGGTACATCATATATTTGTGAATGCAGGGCGGTAACGTCGCCCAATAAACAATGAATTAATTAATAATTTATTGTCAAAAAATGGCCAATCACAACGAACACTCTCCTTAATTATAGTACTATAATAGCGTAAGTCCACAAATAATTCCATCTTCTTCAATCAAAACTATGTAAAAAAACTAGGCTTAGACCTATCGTCTTACTAGTAGTACTACAGTACATGAACGCATAAAAACGCTATTCTACGAAAGCCTATTCGTGGCACTTAAGTATATAAAATCATCAAAATGTAATCCGAAATTTCGGATCAGTAATCCGTTATTTCGAATTAGTAACTCGTTATTTCGGATTACTAATCCGAAATTTAGAATTAGTAATTCGTTATTTCGAATTAGTAATCTGTTATTTCGGATTACTAATCCGAAATTTCGAATTAAGAGATTCGTTATTTCGAATTAGTAATTCGTTATTTCGGATTACTAATCCGAAATTTCGAATTAGTAATTCGTTATTTCGAGTTAGTAATCCGAA